AATGCTTTTTTAAAATGCAATATATTATCTTTTTCATTTAACTAAACATTATGTAAATTAGTTTTATATGTATATAACTATGTATATTTATTTCAGGGGAAAAATAAACTATCAAATTTTTTTTTTCACCGATTACCTTAAAAATTTGTTGACAAATGTTTTTTTAAATGCAATATAAAAGTTGCATTAAAAATATTTTATTACTTGTTGCATTTTTTTATATTTATTAAATTAACAGTTTTATATGTATATAACTATGTATATTTATTTCAGGGGAAAAATAAACTATCAAATTTTTTTTTTCACCGATTACCTTAAAAATTTGTTGACAAATGTTTTTTTAAATGCAATATAAAAGTTGCATTAAAAATATTTTATTACTTGTTGCATTTTTTTATATTTATTAAATTAACAGTTTTATATGTATATAATTATGTATATTTGAAAAACAAAAATTCTACAATCCTTCATAAAATTCGAGATAGAGCCGTAAAATGAACAACTTTGGTCTGTTTCTTTTATATGTCAATCAGGTGGACGCTCTTTGAGAGATGGCGACTTTGTACTGAATCTTTCACAGCTGTTTTCACATGCTGTCTTCGGTTCATAGGGATCTAGATTGAATTTTGACAGCTCTGAGATGGTGAAACTCTAATGTTGTGGATCCTATAGCACACCCATGATTGCCCTCACATTTATATTATGGTTAAATCTGCCTATCTACAGTGTTGTTTTACATTGTATTGTACATATCTGGTACGTTTCCGCAGTCTTTTTAAAGAAATAGTTACTCACCCTCATTTCTATAATGATTTTGGATCTTAGACTACAAGTTAATGTGATTTTTTTTCTGGCTGTAATATGTTATTCTAAGTTGGATTCCTCGCTGCCCTCAAATATTCTTTTATCCCAGTAAGCAAATCTGGTTCTTCGTCTCATTTCTGCAGGGAACACCCTGGGAAAAGACCGATGTGGTTTGCACAACAGAGCGAAAATAGCATGGAGCACTCATAATCAAGCATATTTGTGCGTGCAGCGTGTGAGTGTTGACCCAGCTAGAGATATAAAACGCCAGGCTGGGGAGCAGAACCTGCCAGGTATTAAAATCTGAGGTGCCAATTGAGCTGTGAAGATAAGAATTGAAAAGGGAATAGGGAATAACCCCCTCTGTTTTATAACTTTCCCCACAATGCATTGGGACTTTACAGTGTGCATGCATCATCCGTTTGATGCAAAGTATTCCAGTGTGTGCGTGTGTAAAGAGAAGAAACGGAAATGAGTAAAACGAGAAAAATAACCCTCAATGCTTTAAGTTTAATGCTCGTTTCATTGAACTGTGCTGTTATTTGTCAGGACGTCTACAAGGTTGTTTCATGCATCAGGAATAAAGCGCAACAGTAGAAGGAACCTTGGCTTTTCTGAGAGTGGGAGGAAAATGCATCCTGCATCCTGAAGTGCATAGCAAATAAATGTGCTTTTAGGCCAGAGAATTTCAGAAATGTTCAGAATGCAATACTTGCATGCCAGTAACTGCACAGTGAATACTATTTGTTGCATGCTGTTTAAATATGCATTGGAAACTGTGGTATGCTAATTTGCCGCTACATAACATCAAGTTGCATTTTTAATTTTAGAGAGTTAATTTTAGAGATCTTGGAAATAGATATGGTTATTTTGCATTTAAATGTCTTAAGTTTTGACTGTCGGAACAAATATGTCAAAAAGATTTTATTAAAAAAGTGCTTCTGTAAAACTCATTCATCACACTTGAAACTGAAGGTCATGTTGGGTTTGTCGCGCTGTAAGATACAGCAGTATACAATACATTAGTGTTCTCTGATGGAATAAATTAGTAATTTTTCAATTTATAAGAGCCAGAGATATTATCCGTGATTCATTTTATTTAGTATAATGTAATGCAAAGTGTGTCTTGGGCCCGTTCGTGTTCACTGGCGTTTTTACTCGATTGGCAAGCAGATATAGAAAAGCAGTTGGCTAATGCTTATTAAAATTGTTTTATTGTTGCATCTAACCATATATTTATGTATGAATAAAATTAACATTTTTATTTGTATATAGCTATGTCTGTCAATTAAAAAACAACACTTTTTATTTTACATTTATTTTAAATTTTTTCATGTAATTAATAAATTGATGATTTATTTAGTTTTTTAAGTGCCACTCATAGGCTGTTTGCAATGCATACTAATATACTTCTCAGTACTGTATATAGTACATATACTGTGCACAGTATGCAGAATGTCTGTATGTATAGACATTGCATGTCATAAATCCCACAATGCAATGCTCTCAATTTAGGAATAGTTCACCCAAAAAAAATTTTTTAAATGAAAATGTACTCGTCCTCAGTCCACCCGAGATGTAGATGAGTTTGTTTCTTCATCGAGTTTGGAGAAATGTAGCATTGCATCACTTGCTCAGCAATGGATGCCCTGCAGTGAATGGGTGCCGTCAGACTGAGAGTCCAAACAGCTGATAAAAACATCACAATAATCCACAAGTAATTCACACCACTCCAGTCCATCAGTTAACATCTTGAGAAGTGAAAGCTGCGTGTTTGTAAGAAACCATCATGAAGAGGTTTTAACTTTAAACTGTTGCTTCTGGTCAAAATACGAGTCCATAATCCATAATAATGCTTCCTCCAGTGAAAAAATCCATCTCCTGTTGTCTCTCACATTTGTTTAGAGCGGTTTTGAACTGTTTTGGCTTGTAAATGGCATTTGATCTGTGCAGATTTCTCTCTTTATTCAAATGAGATGACTTCTTCACTGGAGAAAGTAATATTATGGATAGAGGAGAATATAGAATATTATGGATATTTTAGCCAGAAGCAATGGTTTGAAGTAAAAAAAAAAACATCTTAATGATGGATTTGTTTCTTACGAAAATGCAGCTTTTGTCTTCTCCAGATGTGAACTGATGGACTGGAGTGGTGTGGATTACTTGTGGATTATTGTGATGTTTTTATCAGCTGTTTGGACTCTCATTCTGACGGCACCCATTCACTGCAGAGCATCCATTGCTGTAGCAAGTGATGCAATGCTACATTTCTCCAAATCTGTTCCTATGAAGAAACAAACTCATCTACATCTTGGATGGCCTGAGGGTGAGTACATGTTCAGCAAATTTTCCCTTTTGAGTGAACAACTCCTTTAAAACTCCATTTCTAATGTGATGAATGAACTGCAAATGCAATAGACCTATCAACCTTCATTTTTATTGCTAATAGATTGCGTGGGTACAGAAAATTGTGTGCATGGCCTATATACTACATACTGCAGAAATCATACTAGCTCATATTTGCACATGCCTGCGCAGGCCAAACTGAAGCACTTGTCTTTAAAAGGAATGATTAATAATGAAAGATGATTAAGCAATTACTCTGATTTAAATCAGTCCGTGCCCTTGTGTGCCGCAAGTCGAGAAAACTTAATTTAGCAATGTCATTGCTGGTCACTTCAGCGGATAATGCAAAGCAGCTTTATGCAATTTGTGTACGATGCCATGACAATGCAGCCCAATGAGCCCATGCTTCTTTTCATTACTCTGTGCAATTTGGAGCGCCTCTGCCATGGCTTTGTCTCAAATTAAAAAAGCCCAGCGCTTGGCCATCACATGCCGCATGTCTCCTTTTGTCTTCCTCCCTGTCCAATCACACTTGGCAAGCCTTCGGTTCACTGGCTTCGCATTGCACGTTAAACACCAAGACCTTCCGGGTGCTTCTTAACTCTTGACTGTACTTGTTTCTCGTATATTAAACCTCGAAGGCAGGATGACCCAATATTGGCCAGCAGATATTAAGGACAGCAACAGGGATTATGAGCAGGACTCGAAGACGGTGCCACGCTGGCATTTGGCAGCGTTGACGTGGCTAGCAACGGAGCCACGCCGAGAGAGTGCCGATAGCACACTAATCTCTGTTTGCAGAGGAAATTGGAGCGTATTTTGCACACCCTAAATAGATAAGAACAAGAATGGCGTTTGAAAACTAAAAAGGAATTTGACGTTGTTGGTGCCACCTGCAAACAGCCCGAGCAAATTCACATTTCCTCTGATGTCCCGGTTTGTTCGTATACCAGTGTGTAGTTTGATTCGTGCATATGAAAACGCATGTGTATGTGTTTGTACACAAGTGGTGTGGATTACTTGTGGATTATTGTGATGTTTTTATCAGCTGTTTGGACTCTCATTCTGACGGCACCCATTCACTGCAGAGCATCCATTGCTGTAGCAAGTGATGCAATGCTACATTTCTCCAAATCTGTTCCTATGAAGAAACAAACTCATCTACATCTTGGATGGCCTGAGGGTGAGTACATGTTCAGCAAATTTTCCCTTTTGAGTGAACAACTCCTTTAAAACTCCATTTCTAATGTGATGAATGAACTGCAAATGCAATAGACCTATCAACCTTCATTTTTATTGCTAATAGATTGCGTGGGTACAGAAAATTGTGTGCATGGCCTATATACTACATACTGCAGAAATCATACTAGCTCATATTTGCACATGCCTGCGCAGGCCAAACTGAAGCACTTGTCTTTAAAAGGAATGATTAATAATGAAAGATGATTAAGCAATTACTCTGATTTAAATCAGTCCGTGCCCTTGTGTGCCGCAAGTCGAGAAAACTTAATTTAGCAATGTCATTGCTGGTCACTTCAGCGGATAATGCAAAGCAGCTTTATGCAATTTGTGTACGATGCCATGACAATGCAGCCCAATGAGCCCATGCTTCTTTTCATTACTCTGTGCAATTTGGAGCGCCTCTGCCATGGCTTTGTCTCAAATTAAAAAAGCCCAGCGCTTGGCCATCACATGCCGCATGTCTCCTTTTGTCTTCCTCCCTCTCCACTCACACTTGGCAAGCCATTAGTTCACTGGGCTTCACATTGTGCATTAAACACCCAGACCTTCCGGGTGCTTCTTAACTCTTGACTGTACTTGTTTCTCGTATATTAAACCTCGAAGGCAGGATGACCCAATATTGGCCAGCAGATATTAAGGACAGCAACAGGGATTATGAGCAGGACTCGAAGACGGTGCCACGCTGGCATTTGGCAGCGTTGACGTGGCTAGCAACGGAGCCACGCCGAGAGAGTGCCGATAGCACACTAATCTCTGTTTGCAGAGGAAATTGGAGCGTATTTTGCACACCCTAAATAGATAAGAACAAGAATGGCGTTTGAAAACTAAAAAGGAATTTGACGTTGTTGGTGCCACCTGCAAACAGCCCGAGCAAATTCACATTTCCTCTGATGTCCCGGTTTGTTCGTATCCCAGTGTGTAGTTTGATTTGTGCATATGAAAGCGCACGTGTACGTGTTTGTACACAAGTGACAGCGCTCATGCACGAGTGTGTGTGTTTGTTCCCATTGCAGTGGCGGTTCCTTCATTTCACGCTCTGCCGCTTCCGTGTGAATCCTCTTCCCCGGGCTCATTATCGGGTCTGTTCGACGAGTGCATGGCCAGGCGGCACGCGGGCCAGAACCCAATCATTATTCAAGCCCTCTGACGGTCAGCGCTGATGGCTCCATGCTGTCGTTTTGCGGTCTTATTATTCTCTCCTTGCAAATAACTAAGCAAACCACAAAAACAAATCCTGCCTGACCAGGATCAATGAGGTACTCAGTATCCGGCGTCCTGGCGCCCGGGGGACTCGGGGATGGAGTGGACCTTCTGTTGTTGGAATAACTGCTGTGTGCTCACTGTCTCTCCTCTCTCGTTTTCTTTGGCAGGGCCCACCGGTGCTCAGGCGGCCGAGTTCGGACACTTGCCCGACAACATTACCGTGCTGGAAGGAGAAAGCGTCGTTTTGAGGTGATTTCACCGTGCACCTGCATCCTTATGTCATGTGATTTAAAACAAACTCTTTTCCTCCCTTGGAATGATCTGTTGATCTTCTTCTTAGGGAGGGGTGGTATGACCAAAAACATGTAATTGTGAGATAAAGTTTCAAATGAATAAAAAGTGGTATAAGATCACAATCACAGAAGATAAACTCTCAACTGCGATAAATAACCTTGCAATTGTGTAAAGGCATACCTGTGTAAAGGCACATTGTGAGATAAATCACAATTATGAGGAACAACTAAATGTATAGTGACAGTTGTGAGATATAAAGACACATTGTGAGAAATTAAGTCACAATAATGTAAGACCTTCGTTCAGTTTTCAGAACACAAATTAAGATATTTTTGATGAAATCCGAGAGCAGAATATTTTCACAATATTCTGTGTTTTTTCCATCACTGTCGCATTTAAATAATGTAAGGCAGTCCTGCTACTGATAGCCACATGGATATAAATATACGGTCGTATCGCCTAGCCCTACTGCTTTTATCATACTTGTTCGTTGGAGGGTGCATTTTTAACATTTTAATTTCACTCTCTCTAGTTTTGTTGCCAGCAATTGAACTCCTGAACCTGCTGTCAGGGGTTCATATTCTCAAAAGCACCATATTATTATTCCACACAACTGCACCAGGAATGGGAATTGATGTGATATCACAGTTTAATACGCTGAAAGTCAAAGCTGACATGAATGTGAGTGATATTTAAGCCTTAAATGTGTCACGATTTCTCCATTTCAAGAGCAGAGCAGTGACATCTAGAGGTGAACTGTGGTTAAATGCAACAGGACTGATGGCGTTACAGTATGTGGTCTGATCGTGTGAAGAGTGATGAAGCGCAGTTGTCAGTTATTATATTGCAACATTTGTTCTTCAACCAATTTTTTTTTTGGTGTCTTCAGTGTTGCTGCCTCTCAAACTAAACGGTGACCATACTTGATGCCAATATTTGACCAAGCTCAGAATTGCATTTTTGCATTATTTACAAATGCCAGCAGGCAAAAGATAAGATTCTGAACACTGACCCGAATGTGTTGTGACAGACTTGAACTAACTGCATCTCCAGACTGCGAAGAGTTTTTCATTTCAAACACTGTCAGTCATCTACAGTATAGTCAACATTTGAAGTGGATCAAAACCTTTTCTAAAACCAAAACAATAACCGTTCTTGTTTTTGATGAACTTGATGAACTTTTTTGATCCACTTCAAATGTTGACTACTATATATCACTGGCAGTTTTTGCTACATTTCTTTGAAAACTCAATCAATCGTTGAATTGAGAAGCTTCCAGATTTCTTAGGAGGAAAATACTTCAATGCAAGCCTCATTGTCCAATAAACAATCAGGTGATTTGGTGCAAATAGTGCTCATGATGCTCTCATAGACTCCCAGTGATGCACAGCATCCAGCCACGTGTTTAGAGCCTCTGGTCCAGTGAACACTGATCTTTGCACTACTGAAATCAACGTATTTATAGACCCCATTGAAGTCAATTCACTGACTTCAGCAGACATATTTATTTGGGAGAGAACAGATTACTGAATCAACCCTCTACTGTACACTGCAAAAAAAAAGTAAAATTTACAGTAAAAAAACGGCAGCTGTGGTTGCCGGAATTTTACCGTAAAAAATACAGTAGCACCGTTTTAGGTTTTAACTTAAATTTACAGTTAAATACCGTAATTTCATTAACTGATATAATGTTAATATACCAACCTATTGAAGTACTGAAATCTGTTTTGCACCTTTGTAATACACTGATAACCACCAAATGCAGGAGGTGATGAGAAAGTCACATGATGAACCAAAGTCCATCACAAGCAGCTTTTAAATAATAACATATATAGAAGGTGCACAGTGTCATTCACACAGAGACTAAACACCATCATGGTAACATGCATGAAACTGAAATAATGCAATAAACATTTATTTAACAACATTAGGTGTAACACACAACCCTAATATACAAAACTGATAAGAAAAAACTAAGAAGAAACAGTTATTTCAACAAAAAAACATCACATTTGAAATGTAATGCAGGG